TTTCAGTTCTGCCCACACATTTTCTACAGGATTCAGGTCAGGGCTTTGTGATGGCCACTCCAATACCTTGACTTTGTTGTCCTTAAGCCATTTTTCCACAACTTTGGAAGTATGCTTGGGGTCATTGTCCATTTGGAAGACCCATTTGCGACCAAGCTTTAACTTCCTGACTGATGTCTTGAGATGTTGCTTCAATACATCCACATAAATTTCCTTCCTCATGATGCCATCTATTTTGTGAAGTGCACCAGTCCCTCCTGCAGCAAAGCACCCCCACAGCATGATGCTGCCACCCCTGAGCTTCACGGTTGGGATGGTGTTCTTCGGCTTGCAAGCATCCCCCTTTTTCCTCCAAACATAACGATGGTCATTATGGCCAAACAGTTCTATTTTTGTTTCATCAGACCAGAGGTCATTTCTCAAAAAAGTATGATCTTTGTCCCCATGTGCAGTTGCAAACCGTAGTCTGGCTTTTTTATGGCGGTTTTGGAGCAGTGGCTTCTTCCTTGCTGAGCGGCCTTTCAGGTTATGTCGATATAGGACTCATTTTACTGTGGATATAGATACTTTTGTACCTGTTTCCTCCAGCATCTTCACAAGGTCCTTTGCTGTTGTTCTGGGATAGATTTTCACTTTTCGCACCAAAGTACGTTCATCTCTAGGAGACAGAACGCGTCTCCTTCCTGAGCGGTATGACAGCTGTGTGGTCCATGGTGTTTATACCTGCGTACTATTGTTTGTGCAGATGAACGTGGTACCTTCAGGCATTTGGAAATTGCTCCCAAGGATGAACCAGACTTGTGAAGGTATACAATTATTTTTCTGAAGTTTTGGCTGATTTCTTTTGATTTTCCAATGATGTCAAGCAAAGAGGCACTGAGTTTGAAGGTAGGCCTTGAAATAAATCCACAGGTACACCTCCAATTGACTCAAATGATGTTAATTAGCCTATCAGAAGCTTCTAAAGCCAAGACATCATTTCCTGGAATTTTCCAAGCTGTTTAAAGGCACAGTCAACTTAGTGTATGTAAACGTCTGACCCACTGGAATTGTGATACAGTGAATTATAAGTGAAATAATCTGTCTGTAATCAATTGTTGGAAAAATTACTTGTGTCATGCTCAAAGTAGATATCCTAACCGACTTGCCAAAACTATAGTTTGTTAACAAGAAATTTGTGGAGTGGTTGAAAAACAAGTTTTAATGACTCCAACCTAAGTGTATGTAAACTTCCGACTTCAACTGTACACGTTGGATGTCAGCGTGATAGGCCTATAACTGCCTGCCCTAGCGGGATCTTTACCTGGTGTTACAAACAGCAACACCACTGCACGTTTCCACCCAGCAAGTATCATCCCAGTCCTCCACACCTTACTATACAACCCTAACACTGCTTCCAACACACTGTCCGGTGCATGCTTAAACATCACATAGCACACCCTATCTTCTCCAGTAGCAGTCTGCCCGCAGTCCTTCAATGTCCTTGTCATCTCAGACATAGAAAAATCTGCATCCATAGCTTCTCCTGACTCCACTTTTTTCTTTAAAACCTCTCCATGCTGCTTTAACTTTTCCCTATGTCTCTTACTCGCATCACACAGGTGCTCATATCTATGAACCGCTGCAAATGCACCACCTAGGACATTTGCCTTTTCTTACTTGGTACAGCTGTGACATTTCCTTCTATCAGCACTGAAATTCCATCATTTTTACCCTTTCCCATCATTTTTTTAAAAAAAATCCGAACCGCACCAATTTCGGTCCCTCTACCAATAGCGGAGCAAAATTCCCACCATGCCTCCCTTTTCGCTGTCTTAATCGTTCTTCTCACCATCACTCTCTTCCTTTGATACTCCATGACATTCCTTTATGTCAAGCCATTCTTCAGTACCTGTCAGTTCTGAAACTTTAACACCAGCATGGTTTTGACTGGAAAACAGGGTTGCCAGGTCAAGCTAAAATTTCTAGTCCAATGACTACTCAAAACCTACACCAATTATTTATTTTTTACAGCAAGAGAGGAGTTACCATATCTAGACAATAAACCCTTTTTCCATAACGTTATCGAGCCAATTAAGAAGGAATACCATAGTAACTTGTAACGTTAGAAGCAAAATTCGGGTTTCCTCAAAATAATAATTATTGCAAGCCATGACATTACATAATAAAGGAATTTATAAATAAAGGAATTTGATCATTCACCCTTATTAAACTCGCCAGATAATTTTCCATCAATGGATGTCGATTTAACTTGTTTGACTGCTATGATTAAACAATAAGGCACAATGTTCTTAAGCACGACACAACGTGGAGTGCCTGGATACAGCCGTTAGCCGTGGTATGTTGGCCATATACCACAAACCCCAGGGGTGCCTTATTGCTATTATAACCTGGTTACCAACGTAATTAGAACAGTAAAAAGTAATGTTTTGTCATATCATTTCAGCCAATCAGCATTCAGGGCTCGAACCAGGTTTATAATTGTAAATAAATCCCCTTTGCGCATGTGCATAACTATATATAAATTCGACAGAGTTTGGGTGATGAAAGTTGTACAAAGGATTTCGAAATCTCTGGCAATTGTGTTGTTATTATATGCCAGATGTTAAGAATTGCCCATTTGCGAGATTGACTTGTCATTTCAATAGGCATAGGCTACAGACTAAAATATGGGTTTATGATTCTAATTACATTTTGCCATAGTTTGCTTGGATAAAGGCAGGTAGCCTATAGCCCCTGATAGGCCTAAATCTAATTTCAGATAGTCTACAGTAGCATAGACAAGATGTAGGAAAGATGTAAACTGAACGATATAGCAGCTTGCTTAGTTCAAATTAACAGACTAATTTATTCAATATGAATAGCGATGCAATTTCGCAATAAGAAGTGCTTGTGTTTCCCAATAGCCTGCTGGAACAGGCTACTAAGGATGGCGTCACAATTTCAATCACTGAATTAAATATTAATAATATGCATATGAACTGAATATGCTTGTCAACAACAACCAGTGTTTATTTTTTAGAATTTGTTTTACCTGTAGCCTAATCTGACTACTGTTACCATTAATCTAATGCGTTCATAATAACACAAGGCTACAACAACAATAAATTGAAGTTATAGGCTATTCATTAAATTGGTTTGCCAGCTCCAGGTAGGCTACACTGGTCGCACAAATTGATTTGCAATGACTCCAGTGGTATCGTCATTTCAACATATTTATTGTATAAAATGGTAGCCTACAATGGCATAAACATGAATAGGCTACTTGATGGCCAACAGAGGCAAATGGATAATTCTCCACATTTAGCCTAATGTCAGTTTCATTGAGGACTTTTCCCCATAAAAAGAACCACGCGAGGGAGTTCCATAACTTCCATTTCAAATGTCCACTCGGGCAGCCCCCGAGACCCAAGAACTGAGCATGCATAAAGCACTTCGAGTGATACAGTTTTCTTTAAACAGTTAACGTTAGAATGCAGTTTAAACCCCCTCAGCGCGGACTTAGTAATGGGCTCTCGTGCGCCCAAAGTCGTTTTCAGTGCTTTGTCTCCATTATTTATTGATGTGCATCAATTCTAGCGTATTAACATGTTTTATGTTAAAAGGTTTGTAAATAGGTGTCTCCATACTGACAATCTAAATAGCCTACCTACAACTTGAAAAAGTTGTCACAACTTGCGCGCGTGCTGCTCGCTCACGTGACTCAGCCATTAACTGTAGTGCTCATTCAAAACACACACACACACACACACACACACACACACACACACACACACACACACACACACACACACACCACAGGAGGTTGGTGGCACCTTAATTGGGCATTAAGGGCTCGTGGTAATGGCTGGAGCGGAATCAGTGGAACGGTATCAAATACATCAAACACATGGTTTCCATATGTTTGATGCCATTCCATTTGCTCAGTTCCAGCCATTATTATTTCTGGGTCTCTATGTTTTTGGTTGGATAAGTTTCTCAATTTCTTTCTTAGGTTTTTGCATTCTTCATCAAACCATTTGTCATAGTTGTTAATTTTCTTAGGTTGTCTACTTTTTCTCTACTTTTTGATTTGATAGGGAAGCTGAAAGGTCAAATATACTGTTTAGGCTTTCTACTGCCAAGTTTATACCTTCACTATTACAGTGAAATGTTTTGTCCAATAAGTTGTCTAAAAGGGATTGAATTTGTTGTTGCCTAATTGTTTTTTGTACTTTCCTTCCATCTATAGCATTTCTTGATATTGTGCAGTTCCTTTGGCTTTGATGCCTCATGATTGAGTATTGCTCTGTTAAGGTACTGTGATTTTGCTGTGATCTGATAGGGGAGACTCTGGGTTGAGGTCAGTGATAAAGTAATCTACAGGACTACTGCCAAGGGATGAGCTGCAGGTGTACCTACCATAGGAGTCTCCAACAGCCTGCCTCACAGTCAGCAGCAGGTCACAGTGAAATATATATTTTTAAGAGAAACGCCATGGCGGCCGCTGTGCGACTTAGTAATAGCCCAAAAACTGCTATCCGCGGCCAATACATTTTCACCCGCGACATCATTTTCAAAGTAGTCCAATTTGTCGAAAACCGCAAACATGGCAACACTGCTGGAGAATGATGTGACTCCTTAAAGACACAGGCAACATTTATGGCAAATATGTCTGTAAATTAAGTTTCAAACCAGTATAACGCGAGCAACATCAAACTTTAGTTTCATCATATGTCCGTCCAAACGTTGGTGTAAAATGTGACGTGAATAATTGGTGCAAGTAAATTATGAATCAGTGACTGTCCACAAGTACTAACTGTCCACTACAACTACCAAAATCCATTGCTTCATGCAAACCCCAATCCGATTAGTCTGTATTTTATGTCAATCATACAGCAGAGCCCTCCATTCGCTAGCAATGCGGTAGTCGTTTCTTTAATTGGGCGGGTTGTACATTACCTTACGTAGCTGCTTTTTGTAATCGTTCGTATTATAGCTCAGTAGTTGTAATCCGTTGCTGTCAACCTGCCGCAACTTCGTGTGTTTACTACTCACTCATCTGTTATGTTATATAAATGATACGGTAGTAGTCTCCGATAATGAAGTAAAAATAGCGTTAAATATTGCTTTATTTTTTATTTCGTGCTGATTGGTCTCTAGTCCAGACATTCATTGCCTGTTTTTTTTACGACTGGGGAGTGGGGTTGCAGTCTGGCCTCTAGCCGCGGCTGCTAATTAGCTGAATATTTTCTCAATATCGTCCTGCATTGAAACATGTTTATTTTATAAATATGATGGTGAGGGGGACTCTGTAAACTAAATGACTGTCAGAAATATCGCCTCCATTTGTAATATGGTAAGTAGTCATAGCGCTATCGATTGCCTGCTGCAGTCACTGTTGGGCACCTTGTGTAATGACAATGAGAGAGGGTCATTGTCGAATTGCTCCTGGGGGCTCGAGCTGATCGGTTGTAGCAATCAATCCACCGGTCCTTGCTTGACGGGGATGCAAATGGGGCGGAATGTTCCATCATTTCGGAAATGTAGCTATATCTTGAATGAATCATCAATCAAGTACAAGGGAGGAGCAAAACCCACAGACACTCGGCCCTCCCTGGAATGAGTTTGACACGTGATCTAGAAGGTCCCTAGGTCACACTTATAACTGTATAATTAGTCCTAAGTACAATGTAACAAGTAATTATAATACGCCTAGTTGTTACACTGTGCGTGAATATTTAGTCTACACATTAATAAGGACAATAATGTAAAGTGTTACCTTTCTTAACTAACAGCACCACCACAAAATGGAATGTGTTCATTGAATAAGGCAGTTGATAAAGATTCAAAACTTGAGGAAAGTGTCATGTTTTGAAGTTCAGTAGCATTATTGTGACACAGAGCATTTCATTGGTGATGAAGGGACCTATATTGCCATCATCTGGTCTTTGTTGTTTTTCTCCTTTATACCAATGTTTGTAAGCTTTGATTGAACAGTATTATTTAGATGAGACAAGCAAGTGTACGTTGTCTAGTTTGATAAAACACTAAATGTGTCTTTGGGGATATGAGGACAGGCTCAGCGGTGTGTGTGCAAACGTACATATGTCTGTATGAGAAAGTGAAGCTTGGGAACTCAAAGTCAAAACGAAAATCAGAGACAACAAAGCAAAGTATTCTGTTCTGCTTTGACTGAGAGAAAATTACAGTGATTTAAAGACTTTAGCAGAAGTCTCTCAACAAAGCCACGGTTTCATCTGGAGCCTCTCTAAGCTCTGGTTAGTCAATGGGCTCTGTCAGGAGATAAGTGCCCTGTCTCTACACTAACAGAATGTTAAATGCTCTTGAATCTTTACATTGTAATAGCCCCCCCCCCCCAAGTGAAGAGGTTGGTACTGAGTATCTCAGACGATGAAACCAAAGGATTCCTGATTTCCAGTAGTATGAATAAGCAAAGTTTGTGTTTGTGATGGGAAACTGCGAGCTTCATGAAAACCATAAAAGGCTGGAGTCGACTGCCATTCAATGTCAGAAATAATCCAGGCATTTATCTGAAGCAAAGGTTAGGCTATTATGTGAAACAGAGACGTGCAGCATGTGACCTCTCTATAAAGAGGTTTTGGTCTGTCAGTTCCCTGCTATATACTTACCAAGATGACTCCGAGGCCAGAGAGCCCTTGGCCAGATCCACTAGCTTAAGGGTTTGCAACTGTCTACCTCTTTGCTCACAATACACTCACTGAAGAAGATAGAACAGACACGTGTGGTGTGTGAGTGGGACACTCCAGATGATGATGTGTAGCCTATTTCATGCATAATAAGGATGTTTTGACAGTGCACATTAGAGCTCATGTTCTCTCTCTCTGGTCTCCCTTAGGGCACCAATGCCTCTGCTCTGGAGAAAGACATTGGTCCGGAGCAGTTCCCAATCAACGAACACTACTTTGGATTGGTCAATGTAAGTGTCATTCACTCGGTCACCTTCTGGATGATCATTATAAACACAGGTGTCCTTTTCAGAACAAGCTGTCCACTAGGTCACTACTGAGTCATGTTTCACATTGGACAGGTGATTGGTGTTAACGCTTTGTATTAGAAACAGGTTGTTTTGTCTGTTTCACTGCTATTTTATTTCAGTTCGCAAAAAAAACAAATCTTTGAGGAACTTCTGTTACCAACTAGTCTGTTAGCCAACCCTTCAGATGGAGATAGTTGATACTCAAAGCAGAGTTTGGCTGCACTAAGTTGATATTCATTAATCTATCTGGCTCTTATATCCTTTTTAGGTCTAAGTACTAGGGTTGCAAAATTCCTGGAACTTTCAATAAATTCCCTGTTTTTCCCGAAATACCGGTTGGAGGTTTCCCGGAATCAGAAGAGATTAAGCAGGAAATCCGCAATCCTCAAACCAGGATTTCTGGAAGACCAGGAAATGTATTGAAAGTTCCCTGAATTTTGTAACCCTAGTAAGAACACTCAGCATATATCCTTGTGTATACAAACAGTCTCTGTTGGAGTTGACAGTCATGCTGCATGCATCTTCTCTCCATGTTTACAATGTTAAGTTTACCGGTCCTCAAACGCACTCATAAAATTCTCACCGCTCTCTCTTTCTGTTTGTCCCTGCCGGGGTGGACCCTCAGTTTGGGAACACATGTTACTGTAACTCGGTGCTTCAGGCCCTGTACTTCTGCCGGCCCTTCCGGGAGAACGTGCTGGCCTACAAGGCCCAGCAGAAGAAGAAGGAGAACCTGCTCACGTGTCTGGCAGACCTCTTCCACAGCATCACCACCCAGAAGAAAAAGGTGGGAGTCATCCCGCCCAAGAAGTTCATCTCACGCCTGCGCAAGGAGAATGGTGAGATAGACTACACCAAACCTAAATTCAATCACTGTCTGCCCTGGACTGACTGGGAGAGGACTGAGTCTGGGTACAAATCAACTAGAGGACTATGGGGTTATACCATCATAGCTACCATGTTGTATAGATTAAACCTGCCATATGATGGTTGTTGGTAGTATTGGTAGTAAGTGAAACTGACTGTGTTGATCGGTTTCAGAATGCTGAGACCAGTTGTCTTGAATCAAGTTTTCAGCACAGATAGGCATGTTTTGAGCTGGTGGTAGGGATAGGGCAAGAGGGGCAGTGGAAGTGTTTTTGTCAGGTGATTGTCACTGTAGGGTGAAGGGCAGGTGCATGTTGTGGTGGCGGTAAGGTCATTCAGAGCATGGAACTGGAATAGAGGCAGATTGTTCTCAGTAGTCTGACTCCAGGAAGCTCTCTCTATGAATGAACAATGAACATCTCTGTGTGGACTAGGGACTGGTCAGCTGCCTTCTCTCTTTCATTCTCTCACTTTCACATTCTCTCTCTCCACTTTCACTTTTCACACACATATCTGATTTATGTGTGTCCATGTGCATCAATGTGCCCTGATTCAACCTTGAACACGACTGTTGACTGACTGACCACCTCTCCACACAGAGCCTCCCCTCCCAAGTGTTGCCCTAACAGCCCCTGTCCTGTGTCTCCCCCTACAGACCTGTTTGATAACTACATGCAGCAGGACGCCCATGAGTTCCTCAACTACCTGCTGAACACGGTGGCAGACATCCTGCAGGAGGAGAAGAAGCTGAACACGGTGGCAGACATCCTGCAGGAGGAGAAGAAGCTGAACACGGTGGCAGACATCCTGCAGGAGGAGAAGCAGAACGGACGCCTCAAGAACAACGGAACGGCAGTCACCACGGAGACCGAGCCCGAGAACAAGACCACGGAGCCCACCTGGGTGCATGACATCTTCCAGGGCACATTGACCAATGAGACACGCTGCCTCAACTGTGAGACGGTGAGTCCATCAAGGCCGTTGTTTCTGGGGTAGTGGGTTTTATGTTCTCTGGCAGTGACTGAAATGGGTGCTCGTAATTCCACCAAGTGAGACTAGTCCACACAGAGATGTTCATATGTAAGAATACTTTATTGATCCATTTTCCTTACAGTCCACGAAAATGTGTCTCTTGCTTTTTTACTCAACCCCCCAAGACCCTTCCTCAGCAGTGTTGGTAATACTTTGTCAGTACCCTACCAATCCATCTGTTCCTCTGAGTCCCTGTGAGTCTTGTCCCTGTCCACCCGCTGTGCCCTCGGCTGGTGCTGGGGTGAATGATTGCGTCCCACAGAGGGATTAGCTCTGTCTGTAATAAAGGAGGAGATGAGGAGATGGTGAGCTGAGCTGTGACCGAGATCCTCCACACAGCCCCCAAAGGCTGTGTCACCGGCCTCCCATTATGCCACTCTCAGAGCGGAAGAGCAGAGGGAGGGAGGCAGAGATTGGCCCCAAACAACCCTCTTCACCACGCTACAGGCACTCAGCTTCTCACTGATACATCCTTACAACCCTATCAACACATCAAAGAGACCCGCTCTCTCATCTCGTGTGCCAGTGTGTGATCTGGTCTGGTCTCAGAGTAGGGGCATCATCAGTGCCTTTCAGCCCGTGAAGAGGCCAGTAGTACACTGATTAATCTCATCTCTCTCTCCCTGTTTCTGTGTGTGCGACAGGTCAGCAGCAAAGATGAGGACTTTCTGGATCTTTCTGTGGATGTAGAGCAGAATACATCAATAACACACTGTCTCAGGTAATATTTACAGTGCCTTAGGAAAGTATTCACACCCCTTAAATCTTTCCACATTTTGTTGTATTACAAGGTGAGATTAAAATTGATTTAATTGTCATTTTTTGTCAACGAGCTACACAAAATACTCAAACGTCAGTGGGAATAAAATTCAAGCATTTCAAAAAAATAAATAAATAAATATATATATGAAAAATAAAACACTAATGGGAGTATACAGAACATTAGGAACACCTGATCTTTCCATGACAGAATGACCAGGTGAAAGCTATGATCCCTTATTGATGTCACTTGTTAAATCCACTTCAATCAGTGTAGATGAAGGGGAGGAGACGGGTTAAAGAAGGATATTTAAGCCTTGAGACAATTGAGACGTGGATTGTGTAGGCCCAAGCCCTGAGAAAGTGTTATGGGTACTCAGGGCCTCCCGGGTGGCAGCAATGCAGGTAGAGTTGGGAGAGATGCCGTTAATGTTAAGGAGACAACAGCTAACCATGACATATTGGGTAACTCTACAAGGACATAAGGTTACACATCCTTAAAAAAAAGGTGCTCCTGGAGTGCTGGGAACATGAACGAAATCTGAATAAAAGTTTTGGGTGGATCGCCAATGGCATGGCGAGAGAGATGGGGTTGTTTGGGAGGGAGTTTAGCCCCTCTGTGGTTCTTCCTGCTATCCCACCTTGGTTGCTACCTCTGCCAGTGATAGCTCTAGGGTTGCTTGAGGGGGTAAGAGATGTTGAGGAAGGAGTAGATTAAGTTGTAAGTGAACATTTTAAGAACACAATACTATGCTTTCTTGAACATATTCACAGATGGATCTAAGGATCCTAAAACAGGGAGGACAGGTGCAGCTTTTAGTGTTCCTGAGTTTAAGGTGGCAGTGACAAAAAGAGCAATAGATAATTTATCTGTTTACACAATGGAGTTGCTGGCCATACTATTGGCTGCAGAGTGGGTGTTGGAGGTGTGGCCAGACAGGGCAGTCATCTGCTCTGACTCCAGTGCAGCACTGAAGAGCTTAAATTCATTTGTATCTCAGAGCAGACCGGATGTATTGTATGAGGTTTTGCAGTGCTTGTATAGGGTGAGACAGATGGGGGTATTTGTGATGTTCCTATGGGTACCAGCTAATGTGGGAGTAGAGGGGAATGTGGAGGTGGATGTTATCGCCAAGCAGGCTATTAAACATCATAATGTTGGAATTGTCAATCAGTAAAGCAGAAGCCAAGGGGTTGATAAAAACAGTGGTTAAAAAAAATGGCAAGAGTTGTGGGAAAGGGAAGACACCTGTATAAGATTCAAGAAAAGGTGGGGGCAGGGAGGTCCTCAGGCTGAGAGAGAAGGGAGGAAAGTGTAGTCACAAGGCTCAATAGTACAGTGGCTTGCGAAAGTATTCCCCCCCCTTGGCATTTTTCCTATTTTGGAATTTAACCTGGAATTAAAATGGATTTTTGGGGGGGTTTGTATCATTTGATTTACACAACATGCCTACACCTTTGAAGATGCAAAATATTTTTTGGTGCGAAACAAACAAGAAATAAGACAAAAAAAACAGAACTTGAGCGTGCATAACTATTCACACCCCCAAAGTCAAAACTTTGTAGAGCCACCTTTTGCAGCAATTACAGCTGCAAGTCTCTTGGGGTATGTCTCTATAAGCTTGGCACATCTAGCCACTGGGATTTTTGCCCATTCTTCAAGGCAAAACTGCTCCAGCTCCTTCAAGTTGGATGGGTTCCGCTGGTGTACAGCAATCTTTAAGTCATACCACAGATTCTCAATTGGATTGAGGTCTGGGCTTTGACTAGGCCATTCCAAGACATTTACATGTTTCCCCTTAAACCACTCAAGTGTTGCTTTAGCAGTATGTTTAGGGTCATTGTCCTGCTGGAAGGTGAACCTCCGTCCCAGTCTCAAATCTCTGGAAGACTGAAACAGGTTTCCCTTAAGAATTTCCCTGTATTTAGCACCATCCATCATTCCTTCAATTCTGACCAGTTTCCCAGTCCCTGCCGATGGAAAAACATCCCCACAGCATGATGCTGCCACCACCATGCTTCACTGTGGGGATGGTGTTCTCGGGGTGATGAGAGGTGTTGGGTTTGCCGCTAAACATAGCGTTTTCCTTGATGGCCAAAAAGCTCAATTTTAGTCTAATCTGACCAGAGTACCTTCTTCCATATGTTTGGGGAGTCTCCCACATGCCTTTTGGCAAACACCAAACGTGTTTGCTTATTTTTTTCTTTAAGCAATGCCTTTTTTCTGGCCACTCTTTCGTAAAGCCCAGCTCTGAAGGAGTGTACGGCTTAAAGTGGTCCTATGGACAGATACTCCAATCTCCGCTGTGGAGCTTTGCAGCTCCTTCAGGGTTATCTTTGGTCTCTTTGTTACGTCTCTGATTTATGCCCTCCTTGCCTGGTCCGTGAGTTTTGGTGGGCGGCCCTCTCTTGGCAGGTTTGTTGTGGTGCCATATTCTGCCATATTTTTTTATAACCCAACCCTGATCTGTACTTCTCCACAACTTTGTCCCTGACCTGTTTGGAGAGCTTCTTGGTCTTCATGGTGCCGCTTGCTTGGTGGTGCCCCTTGCTTAGTGGTGTTGCAGACTCTGGGGCCTTTCAGAACAGGTGTGTATATATACTTAGATCATGTCACAGATCATGTGACACTTAGATTGCACACAGGTGGACTTTATTTAACTAATTATGTGACTTCTAAAGGTAATTGGTTGCACCAGATCTTATTTAGGGGCTTCATAGCGAAGGGGGTGAATACATATGCACGTACCACTTTCCAGTAATTAATTTTTTTGCATTTTTTGAAAGAAGTTATTTTTTTCATTTCACTTCACCAATTTGGACTATTTTGTGTATGTCCATTACATGAAATCCAAATAAAAATCAATTTAAATTACAGGTTGTAATGCAACAAAATAGGTAAAACGCCAAGGGGGATGAATACTTTTGCAAGGCACTGTACATTGAAATTGGTGGGGAAACATCTGACTGGGAGGTGTGATCATTGTTAGGAGGAGATGGAGACAGTGGAACACGTTCTATTTCAGTGCCAGAAATATGGGAGGGAAAAGGAGTGATTGTTATTAGATTTGAGGAGTAATGGGGTTGGAGAGCCAAGATTAAGTGAACTGCTGGGGAAATCTTCAGGGGATGTAGTATTTAATTATGTATTTAATTTCCTTAGGGAGATGAGAATATTGGGTAGGATTTAGACCTTCCCTGTCTCTGGTCCACACTCCAGTTCAGCTGTTGGCAGTAATGCACCTTAAAGTTGGTTGCCAACTGCCATAAAAATCCACAGAAGAAGAAGACATGGATTGTGTATGTGTGCTGTTCAGAGGGTGAATGGGCAAGAGAAAAGATTTAAGTGCCTTTGAACGGGGTATGGTAGTAGGTGCCAGGCGCACCCGTTTGAATGTGTCAAGAACTGCAACACTGCTGGGGTTTTCACGCTCAACAGTTTCCCATGTGTATCAAGAATGGTCCACCACCCAAAGGACATCCAGCCAACTTGGCACAACTGTGGGAAGCATTGGAGTCAACATGGGCCAGCATCCCTGTGGAATGCTTTCGACACCTTGTAGTCCATGCCCCAACGAATTGAGGCTGTTCTGAAGGCAAAAGGGGGTGCAACTCAATATTAGGAAGGTGTTCCTAATGCTTTGTGTACACAGTGTATCTTGATTACATAAGTATTCAACCCCCTGAGTCAATACTTGTTAGAATCAACTTTGGCAGTGATTACAGCTGTCTTTCTGGGTAAGTCTGTAAGAGCTTTGCACACCTGGATTGTAAAATATTTGCCCCATTATTATTTTCAAAATTCTTCAAGCTCTGTCAAATTGGTTGTGTTGATCAATGCTATACAATCATTTTCAAGTCTTGCCATAGATTTTCAAGCAGATTTAAGTCAAAACTGTAACTCGGCCACTCAGGAACATTCACTGTCTTCTTGGTAAGCAAGTCCAGTCTAGATTTGTGTTTTAGGTTATTGTCCTGCTGAAAAGTGAATTAATCTCCAGTGTCTGGTGGAAAGCAGACTGAACCAGGTTTTCCTCAAGGATTTTGCCAGTTTATTTTTTTTCCTGAAAAACTCCCCAGTCCTTAACGATTACGAGCATACCCATAACATGATGGAGCCAACACTATGCTTGAAAATATGGAGAGTGGTCCTCAGTATTGTGTTGTATTGGATTTGCCCCAAACATAACACTTTGTATTCAGGAAAAAAGGTTAATTGCTTTGCCACATTTTTAACAGTATTACTTTAGTGCCTTGTTGCAAACAGAATTCATGCTTTGGAATATTTTTTATTCTGTACAGGCTTCCTTCTTTTCACTCTGTAAATTAGGTTAGTATTGTGGAGTAACTACAATGTTGTTGATCCATCCTCAGTTGTCTCATAAAACTCTTTAACTGTTTTAAAGTCACTATTGGCCTCATGGTGAAATCCCTGAGAGGTTTCCTCCCTCCGGCAACTGAGTTAGGAAGGACGCCTGTATTTTTGTATTGACTGGGTGTATTCATACGCCATCCAAAGTGTAATGAATAACTTCACCATGCTCAAAGGGATATTCAATGTCTGCTTTTTTTTTATTTTGACCCATCTACCAATAGGTGCACTTCTTTGCGAGACATTGGAAAACCTCCCTGGTCTTTGTGGTTGAGTCTGTGCTTGAAATTCACTGCTCGACTGAGGGACCTTACAGATAATTGTATATGTGGGGTACAGACATGAGGCAGTCATTCAAAAATCATGTTAAACATTATTATTGCACACAGAGTCCATGCAACTTATTATGTGACTTGTTAAGCACATTTTTACTCCTGTACTTATTTAGGCTTGCCATAACAAAGGGGTTGAATACTTATTGACTCAATACATTTCAGCTTTTAATTTTTAATTAATTTGGAAAAATGATGGGGTATTGTGTGTAGGCCAGCGACAAAAAATCTATATTTAATCAATTTAAAATTCAGGCTGCAACACAACAAAATGTGGAAAAAGTCAAGTGGTGTGAACACTTTCTGAAGGCACTGTACCTGTTACCTTTCTCAACTAGAACTATTGTATACTTGCCAACCCTGCTGTAGATAGAGCATCCTCTACTCTGTGTATCAGCCATACTGACACAGTCCCCTCTGTGTGGGTTGTGTTCCCCAGGGACTTCAGTAACACAGAGACATTGTGCAGTGAATACAAATACTACTGTGAGATATGCTGCAGCAAGCAGGAGGCCCAGAAACGGTCAGTACACACTGTTTAGCTGTGTGTCAGTCTGTCTGTCTGTGTGTGTGTCAGTCTGTGTATAACTCCTCTGTGTCCCTATAGCATGCGTGTGAAGAAGCTGCCTATGATTCTGGCCCTGCACCTGAAGCGGTTTAAGTACATGGAGCAGCTGCACCGATACACCAAGCTGTCCTATCGCGTCGTCTTCCCTCTGGAACTCCGCCTCTTCAACACCTCTGGAGACGCTGTCAACCTCGACCGCATGTACGACCTGGTCGCTGTGGTCGTCCACTGTGGCAGGTAGGACACACACACACAAGAAATTGTATCCAAACTGAAATCTACTGTACCTATAGACACCATATTATTCTCATATCACCGCTTTCCCCTTCTTTCTTCCTCAGTGGACCCAACAGAGGACACTACATCACCATAGTGAAGAGTCATGGCTTCTGGCTGCTGTTTGATGATGACATCGTGGAGGTGTGTGTCTCAGTCTTCTTTATTCCTGTTTGTTGGCCATCACACCTGTTTATATGGCTCATACAGCATGTTGCATTATTTGTTGTCTCACTCTCTGGTTTGCTCAGAAAATCGATTCCCAGGCCATCGAGGAGTTCTATGGGCTGACGTCAGACATCTCCAAGAACTCAGAGTCTGGATACATCCTCTTCTATCAGTCCAGGGAGTAACTGGAATAAACACCCAGCCAGAGAGAGAGCAGGATTGGAACCCTGACCCCTACTGACCCCTCTTTGAGACGTGTGCCAACACCATTCCCTGTCCCACCGCCTGCCCTGGGTCTACCGTCACTTCATTTCCCATAACCCCCTTCTCACCCTCCCTGCGTTCAGCATGCTGGGAAGACTGTGTAAACTGCTTTTTGCCCTTCAGCCACCTGCATCTGGACAGCACTTTAGAACAACAACAACAAAAACAAACAAACAGTCACAGCAAAAAGGAGCAGGAAACAAAAGTAAGTGGCTGGTGTGTGATGCCTGTTTGTCTCCGCATGGGGCCAGGTCTGGAGGTCTGAAGACCCACCATGGGTCACTCTCTCCCTGGGTCTGCCTGGCATACAGAGCTGGCTGGACTGGTACAGATACAGACGGCTTTTGGATAGAAGATTGTATCATATGTATATCTGTATAGTATGTCTATTTTCATGTAATGTCACAAGTTCATAAATCCTTTTAGTAGAGTTATCCCGTGACCTTATATTTACAATGTCCAGCCCATAGATGTCTTCTACCTGGGGAATGGCTAGAGCTGGGATGGAATGGAAGTTTTAGGGAGAGATATAAACTAGTTGAAAGAGGGTCTATGCATCTGATGTCGCTGAACTGCATGTTTCAGTGTTCACTGTTTGAGCTGGTGTGGATTCAAGTTGACATGAGTTGTGACCAAGCCAAACCTATTCATTGTAATGCTGAGATATTGTAGTCTTGCAGAAGACCAGGATGCATCTCTGTCTACTGCTCCCATCCTCTTCCATAGAGACTGGCCCAGGCCTGAATGCTCCTCTCCCTTGTGACCCTTATGTAATATCCATGTAATATCAAATGTTATGATCCAGCCCCCACTCTAGAACATAGTCACTCACTGACACAAACTACATCTCTACTAGTCACTAGACTAGTTTGGTTTAGTGCAGTTCCAGTTTATTCTCTGTCTACTCCCTGTTTTGTAAAACACTATGTATTGCTCTTATTTATTTATGCTGGGGAGCTGTTATAATGTTGACTGTGCTGGTAGGTGGAGGAGATTGTGTCTCAGGGCTTTACCCATCCAGACTCAATCTTGTCTTGTTTATGTAACACCTCCCCCCTCACTGAGTCCGGTAGGTCAGTGTTTCCCGACTCCGGTCCTCCAGTACCCCCCCAACAGTACACATTTTTGTTGTATCCCGGACAAATATACCTGATTGAACTCATCGAGGGCTTGATAATTAGTTGACAAGTTGAATCAGGTGTGCTTGTCCGGGGCTACAATAAAAAGGTGTACTGTTGGGGGTACTGGAGGACCGGAGTTGGGAAACACTGGTGTAGGTAATACACATGCAGAGCTCTATGGGGTTGACAACGTCTTTATTAGCTTTACTTTGAAGTATGTGGATAGCTGGACTCTGTCGAAAGAACCACATAATCCACAGTTGTCAGGTATCCATGAAAAGGAGTGTTTCTCACAGTGAGATTGGTGCAATAGGAGGTCAAGTGAGCTGATAAGATGTTGACTTCCCTTTGAAGTCAATATAGATGTTGATATTAAATGTTGGTGTGTTTTGCTACCAGCTAGTCTCCTCCCAGTCAGTAGTGTGTATCTGTGTGAGATGATCAAAGGAGGTGGAACTATTTTGCTAGGTGCAATATGGGGCAGCGGTCAACATAATGTTGGTATGATGACTTAGAACCTTCCTGTTTATTCTTCTGCAGCTACACCATAGTCTGAATATGAATATTGGTCATTCCTATGTTGAATTATTGGTGTCTTTACATGTGTTCTTCTAACACCTTGTTATTTTGCGTAGTTGTTCCCCCCATTGTTTGGTACTTGACTTGGAACCAATGTTCTTTACTCAGAAGCTGTGCCTGGCAGACACTTACATCAAGTTGTGTTAAGGTGACCAGTGGTCCATAGAGACAGCTAGCTTACCATTCCATAAGGTTAGGACCATGTACTGTAGACTATAACCATATCAAATGTCCATATAGAGGCATATGAAGAAGCAGTGCTGCTCACTGTCCTGTGGCACTCAAATTCACTGTGATACTGGAAGAATACTGACTCAAATGTATCTCGCTAATGTGAAATAGAGATGATGTGAGTTATGTGTGTGTTTCTGTTCCCTCTCCTTTTTATGTGAGTCAGCATATTATGAAATGTGTGAGAGAGTGCATAACTGCCTTTCTCCTTCTGTTAGTATAATTGGGTGAAGTCGATTATTAATATGTGCCAAACTGGAGTCTCTAGTGACCTTGCAAAACTATGTTATCTGCTAAGATACAAGTGTACATATGCATTATGTATAAAATACTGATAAAATATATAGGAAATATATTTTTTAAAACCTAGGAGCACAAAAGAAAGAGGAGTTACTTGAAAATAAAAACAAACCCTGTTTAGAAATATGATGCTGCTTTACAATCAACCAATCAGTCAGTCAATCACATAATCAACTAATCACACAATAGATACACAACCGATGAATCACAATCAGTCAGTCACATTGGGGTTTTGTTCATTACAGGCTTAACAGAACCATGGTAGATGAAGAGAACACTAGCCAGCACTGTTTGAGCCATTTGAAAAGGGTTATGATGAGCAGAGATACTTTGTGTGCTAATCTTCCAATTACTGTTCTGCACACACCCTTATACTACCTTTAGACAGGCAGGCCAATTCTGATCTTTCTTCCACAAATTGGTATTTTGACCAATCATATCAGCTCTTGTTCAGAGCTGATCTGATTGGTCAAAATACCAATTATTTAAAAGATATATATCAGAATTGGGCTGCCTGTCTAAACGCAGCCTATATCTCTCAAAAGCTCTCTCATTGCACTCATTGTGGTCCTATCAGTCTATAACAAGACTCTGGTTGGAATCCGGTGTAGTGCCTAGAGATGAAGAAGTACTGTTATAGCATGTTTGGTTTGATACAGTGAGGGAAAAAAGTATTTGATCCCCTGCTGATTTTGTACGTTTGCCCACTGACAAAGAAATGATCAGTCTATAATTTTAATGGTAGGTTTATTTGAACAGTGAGAGATAGAATAACAACAAAGAAATCCAGAAAAACGCATGTCAAAAATGTTATAAATTGATTTTGCATTTTAATGAGGGAAATAAGTAAGAGTAGAAGTTAAAGGGAGATCCAGGCACTAGATAACTCGCAATTCTGATTAATTGTTTGTGAACTGAAAGTGCACTTTACTAGTGATATGCTTGAATGAGAAGCACAGACTGACTGAGTACTTTTTGGATTTCCCTTTCCTCTGTTCAATAAAAGGACTTTATCAGTTGAGGCACTGGGCTTTTCAAAGATTTTGTTAGTCATGTTCTTTGTATTGGTATTTTCAAAGAGTTCTCAACCCGCTCACCAGCTTCTAATTCTCCCTTTCTCCTCTTATCCTCCTTTACCCACCTCTCCTCTTCTCATTACCTCTGTTTACCCCAGTGCTTTCACATCCTCCACAGTCATTGTTTTCTTTACCCTTTAGTCACACACACACAGTTCATTCCCTTGTTCTCAAGCTTGTCAGTTCCTCTGTCACATCATGTTTACCAGGCAGCGTGTTGCTGTGTGTGGTGTGGTGACAGACAGCCACGGAACGCAGCATCACAGAACACAACAAACTGGACAACAACAGCCTGTGGGGGGAGACAGACAGAGAAAGACAATGTTCCAGTACTATTAGACACCTTGCTTTATCCCCCTCCTCTCCTTCCTTCATCTACTCTATATTACAGCAGTCAGTCACAAAGGAGAGGAGGAAAGAATGCCTTTGTTTTATTCATATTGGAATGTGTTTAGTGAAGCCTGCAGAGAAGTTCTGACCCCTGACAGCACATATTGTAGAATCTAAAGCCAATATGTCATGAGTTCTAGCAGACAGGTCTTCAAGTTCGGGTGGCAGCCTCTGCTCAGCCTCCACTCTGCTGGGAAGGCTTTCCACTAGATTTTGGAACATTGCTGCGGGGACTTGCTTCCATTCAGCAACAAGAGCATTAGTGAGGTTGGGCACTGATGTTGGGCGATTAGGCCTGGCTCGCAGTCTGAGTTAAAATTCATCACAAAGGTGTTTCGATAGGGTTGAGGTCAGGGCTCTGTGTAAGACAGTCAAGTTCTTCCACACTGATCTCGATAAACAATTTCTGTATGGACCTCGCTTTGTGCACCGGGGCATTGTCATGCTGAAACAGGAAAGGGTCTTCCCCAAACTGTTGCCACAAAGTTGGAAGCACAGAATCGTCTAGAATGTCATTGTATGATATAGCGTTAAGATTTCCCTTCACTGGAACTAAGGGGCCTAGCCCGAACCATGAAAAACAGCCCCAGACCATTATTCCTCCTCCACCAAACTTTACAGTTGACACTATGCATTGGGGCAAGTAGCGTTCTCCTGGCATCCGCCAAACCCAGATTTGTCTGTCGGACTGCCAGATGGTGAAGCGTGATTCATCACTCCAGAGAAAGCGTTTTCACTGCTCCAAAGTCCAATGGCGGCGAGCTTTACTCCACTCCAGCCAACGCTTGGCATTGCGCAAGGTGATCTTAAGCTTGTGTACGGCTGCTCGGCCATGGAAACCCATTTAATGAAGCTCCCGATGAACAGTTCTTGTGCTGACGTTGCTTCCAGAGGCAGTTTGGAACTCGGTGGTATTTGTATTTGTATTTATTATGGATCCCCATAAAAAGTTTGAAGGTAGGCCTTGAAATACACCTCCAATTGACTCAAATTATGTCAATTAGCCTATCAGAAGCTTCTAAAGCCATGACATCATTTTCTGGAATTTTCCAAGCTTTTTAAAGGCACAGTCAACTTAGTGTATGTAAACCTCTGACCCACTGGAATTGTGATACAGTGAATTATAAGTGAAATAATCTGTCTGTAAACAATTGTTGGAAAGATAGCTTGTGTCATGCACAAAGTAGATGTCCTAACCGACTTGCCAAAACTATAGTTTGCTAA